ACTGGCCATCTGGTTTTGATGCTACTTATGTCAAGTAGGACTAGCACTGTACATTAGCAAACTTGTTTAAATGGCTTCGAGGGTAGCCAGGTAGACATGGAATGAGCATCAGAAAAGAGAGGGACCTTTTTCTCGAGAAAGAAAAAGAAATGTAGACGGAGGGACCCTTTGCCAGCATTGCTTGCAAAGCACACCTAATCTTTTGTCCATGGGTTCACACCTTTGTCAAATACAGCTTTGATTGAAGACCATTATTTGGTGTTACGTCAAACCTTGATTTTGTTTTCAACCGCTACTTGCTTTTCTTCAAAGGAGGCTCTTTTTCTTATTTATCTATTATTATTATTTTGAGGTTCTCTTTGTCATGAGATTTCTTGTGAACGTGATCAATATAGTTCTGCTCATTTATGTAAAAAATTGATTATGATAATAACTAGCACGCGTGATGTGAGCCGCCAGCATCTTCAAAGTTCAAGGCTGTGGTGCTGTTGTGAGAACTGAGAAGCTTCTCTTGGAAGGCACAGAATAAAAAGATTAACAGTATGTTTTTCTTCTTGTTATTATATTTATCATTTTGAGAATTGTGTTTTGTTTTGAATCTTGAGGTTCAAATCAGGTGTGTGTGAAATTTTCAAAATGTCAAACAATATCCTAAAACTCATTTGTTATTAAAGAGCAAAACACGGTAATTAAGGGATCCTGAAATGACCCAGTTGTGGCCGACAACACCGTTAACCTGGGACATGGACACAACCTACCTAGCTAGCTAACTTATCATTAAAGTTCGCTATTATTAGTAACTCGTTAAATTATTTAAATTATGCTTTGCAATTAATGCTGGTATATCTTCGCATCGGGCTGCTTAATTATTAGAGGAGTACTGCACCTGGGAATTTATCTAAGCGAGGCTGAGTGTTACAAAATATTTCTTGGCCAATGGAAATCCCGCCAATATGATGCCAGGTGGTGATCAGTTGGTGATGGATTTTTCTATTCTTGATTTTGTACTAATTTCTTTCTTCTATTTTTATTTATTTTAATGTCCTATCGTTATTTTCAAAATCTACTTGCTTAGGTCTTTTTTTGATCGTTCTACATATGGGGTTTCCAATCACCAATTCAATCTACTGATATATGCTCAAATCTATTTTTAATTTTTTTTTCTTTTTTCCTTTTCTATGTCCCTCTCCTCTCTCTCTCTCCACCATGGTTTCTCCTCTCTTGTTTTTTTTTTTTTTTTTTTAATGTTTTTTGAACTTTTGTAGTATAGGTTATTTATTTTTTTTAATCATCATCTTTTTTTATTTTTAATTTTTTTTTCAATGTGGTCCATCCTACTATTGTTCAGGTAATTTTTCTATTGAAACTGACATTTTGCATAAAAATTCTGCATGTCATACAATGTCAGATTAATTTGTCATGCAAAAAAAAGCTAAAAAAATTAAAAATAAAAAATAAAAAGAAAAAAATAAAAAAGGCTTATGGTGCAAAAAAGTCAATATTTTTGCTTTTTAATTATGTTAATATTTTTTTAATGTTGAACATAAAATACATAAACTATTTTTCTAATAACTATATTAGCACACGTAAATTTTTCTCATCAAAATTTCGTTTTTTACTAACATGATGAGAGAGGTAGAATGACAATAATAATTAAATACCACGTAGGATTCAAAATAGTTTAGCATTAAAATATTCTCTTCAATTCATATGACATGTCACCCAATTCTCTCCTTCTCCTTATTTAAAATTTTAAAAATTCTCAAATACAAATCCAAATCCAATCAAAATCTTAAAAATCTCCAAACCTTCTGATTTTTTTCTTTTTAATTTTTAATTTTTTCAGCTAAATTTTCTTATTTTTTTTTTTTCACATGACATTAATATGATATGACATGCCACTTATTTTTTTTTTGGTCAAATGTCAATTTAATTGAAAAGTTGGCTGAAAAACAGTCAGAAATGCCATATTACCAAAAATTTAAAATAGATATGTTAAAAAAAAGGTAAAGTGGCGTTTTATGCAGTTACACTGATTTTTAACTGCCCATTTTCTAATTAACCCAATCAACAACACATTGAAGAGTCCAAAACACAATGAGCAACCCTACCAAATATTGTCAAAGGCAAAAAAGATGCCATCTTTGCATTGCTTTCAAGGGTTGGACACATTAGCAATGCCAAAAAGAATTAACATCAACAAAAGAGTGAAGAGGTGCAAACAACGACAAACCGCATGCATGAGATAAGCAGAAGGCGGGTTATAAAATAAACCAAAAACAGAGGATTCTGTCCAAGTCGAATTACAGACGTGTAAGAACGAGAACAAAAGAAACCCGTAGAAACTTTTTAACCTTTCATTTTGTTTTGCTTTTGTTCATGGATGTTGGTGGAGGCCTGGTGCGTAACTGGGAATGGAAAATGAAAAGCCCATAAAGTTGCAACCCATGGACTATAAATATGGTAGGCCTGAGTGCATTGGATTATAACAGCAAAGTCTGGTTGTAGCTTTGTATGCAATTGCTGAAGGCTTTTATTTTAAATTTCTTTTTTGGTCAACATTTTAGTGCGGATGCACAGAAACAAAGTCTAGGACCCAAGGCTACGAAAAGTAGCAGCAGCCCAATCCATTGGTTTCACTTGTCCTAATCTCGAGAGACGTAAAAATGGCCCAAGCCCTTATTGCACTTGCCTACAGTCCATGCAACAATTTGTTCCAGAGATGGCCATGGACTAAACTGAGTAATTTAAGGCTATGCTTATTACAAGAAAAATAAGTTTCAGCAATTTTTTTTATATTTGTTTCACGTTTAGAAAATATAAATCAATGGAATTTGATTTTCTGTCAATAGAATTTGATAGGCTATTTTTAAAAAAGTGTTTTCTGAATTAAAAAAGAGAAATATTTTTTCCTCTCATGGGCTGTTTTGTTCTCATTTTACTCACTTCTCTCTTTCGACATATTTTAATAATTTTTTCTCTATTTTTTATTTAAAATATATCAAATTAATTTTTAACTATTTTTTTATCAATTATTTAATTATTGTTTCTCTATTTCTACTAAAATTAGATCTTAAAAACCATTTTTACAACTTAAAATTATTTTTGTAATAAATATTTTAATAATTTATCTCTATTTTTTTACCATTATCACAAATACCTCCTAAACTATACTTAAATGATTGAAAATGATTATTTCAAGACTGCATTCATTTGTAAAAAAATTGAAACTAATTATTTCATTAATAAATACATTATTTTTCTAATACTAATCATTTGCAACTAAATCAATAATTTGTGATTAATTTTAATTAGTTGTAAAATTTTGTTAGTAATTATAGTAGATAATTAGTTACAAATTATTTTAACATTAATCTTTTAAAACCAAATGAATAATTATTTACAAATGATAACTAATAATTTGTAAAACTATTTTTTAGACTAAATTATCAGTTCAATTTTCAAAAAAAAGAAAAAAAATTCTTAATCGAGTTATTAAAATAACAATGCTATGATTACTTAGATTTTTTTTTTTTTACTAAATATGAATATCAATTTGATTATTTTTTCAGAATTATTTTTTTTATTGAAAGCTTTTTCTGGCCAAACAAACAAAGCCTAATTAGAAGTCAAATGATGATAGTAAGAAGGTTCTTTTTTTGTTTTTTTGTTGAAAGACGAAAGCCTCTCCCGCCTAAGTTCTCGTGAAGCATCTGGGGTGATTAAGAAAGGCCATTAAATGTTTGTGGCTACGGTTAGGTAAAATGAATTTACTCAAATAACATGTTTGCTTAAACTTGAAATTTATGGTCCATGTGGAAAGCAAAATCTACTTCAACTAATCATATTAATGTCCCTTGAATGAACATGTGCATACACATTCTTAATTTAGGAGTTCATGAATGATCTCAAAGCGAATAAAAAAGGAGAATCCTGTATGGTAGTTGCTGGCACAACGATGACATATTTTTGTGGATAATGTCAACACAGCTAGCTAGTTAGTACTGCCTTGGATTCCCCTCCAATATATGCCTACTTTACAGGAAGTTAAAGCCACAACTTAACTGTCATCAATCATCTTACATATTTTTCTGCTACTTTTGCTGCACAAAAGTATAGGAAAAAAAGAAAAAATGTATGCAGCTAAGAATTTGAGATCACATGGAAGAGGAAGAGGATATGCTTAACTTAGGAGCTGAGTTTTGGAAAATAAAGGGTCCATTCCATATAATGTATTGTTTTTATATATAATGAGCTGCTTTTAGAGACATGTTTTTGTATGCAAAAGTCACAGAACGACAGCAAGCAAAAAAGCACTCAAACAGTACATTAATTCATAATATTATAAGAATTTGGTATCCCCTACAAGTTAGAATAGAAAAATATGGCTAATACAAATGTATTTGGGCTAATTTGTCTAGGAAAAGGTACAGTGGGAACAAGTCACTACTTGGCCCTGGGACGGATCAAAGTCTGTGTCTCCTGACAATAGAATTTTTATCCTCAGGAAAGCTGCAGTTACAACAATTCTTATCCAATCCACTAAGTATGTAGCAAAGTAGAGAATATTTTGGAGGTCTGGCCCAAGAGCCCTGCACTGATTCTCCTCACAGGGCCAGCTTAAAGGAAGCACATAATTGAGGAGGTTGTGGTGGTCACAGAATTAAAAGCAATTGGGAGTTGAAACCATTCATATGCCATTGCCTGCCCACCTGCACATGCTGTCTCTGCCCATATGCCCCACTTCCATGGCTCCTTTAATTCTTCATTTCATCATTCCTTTCCACCTTAGCCCCATCACTGAAAACGCCCACAAAAGTCTGTCTACATAGATAGCTCTATATTACATTACAAAGCGATACATTATATCTGTAGTTAGGTAATCAAAGTAATTAACTACATGTGCTTCTTTATGGTCACCATATGCCACATAATATGTTAATCATGTCCCCTTCTCTCTGATTTTCTGCTTCGTATCTTCACTTGGAAATTAACTTCTTCTACGAAGGTGGGGCTAGAGTACTAGGAATTTGGGATGCCAAGGCCATGCATTGAAGGTGCCTTGGACAGGTGATCAAGTGGTCATTACTGAGTCCACCTGCTTGCATGAATGAATGGATGACAGTTGGACCAACGAACCTAAAACCTCTCTTCACCATGTCTTTGCTTATGGTTTCTGATTTTGAGGTCTTCACAGGGATCTTTTGGCATGATTTGTATTGGGTGAAGATAGGTTTGTGATTAACATATCCCCACAAGTACTTGTCAAATGATCCAAACTCCCTCTTAACCTGTAAAATTAAAATAGAGATTAATCAGGATAATTCTCACAGTAAAGTTCCTCGATCATATTTCTATTGACATGGTAACATGGCAAGTACTTACTGATTAACTAGGCCAAGTAGTTCCAGTTAGTGTCGTTGGGTCCACATGTTCATTTTTTAAGTGATTTTAAGGTCATTAATTGAATGATAAATCAATTCCAACCAAAAGGTTACTCCCTAAAAGAAACTTAATTATGCATAGTTTTATCGAATGGGAATGTCATTAGTTAAGTAAGACATTCGATTCATCAAAGGGTTTGTAGCTGTAATAAGAAATCTCGAGTTTAAATCTTAAAAGATTAGTTCTGTTAAAAGCCTTAAATGTATGAATTAAAAAAAAAAAAAGATGTTTGATTCCATCAATATTAGCAGAAAATAAAGTGGTCGAAATGACTGTTAAGAAATAATGACCAAGTGACCAAAGCTATATATGTTGCATTACCTCGAGAATCTTATTAGAGTTGTCTACCACTCCTCGAACTTGGCTTATGTCTATGCCATACTCAGCACTGATTGATATTATTTTCTTTTCGGTGAATTTGGCAACAATTTCTGCATCAAACCCTGAAAAGGCCTCCCTGCAGTAGTGGTTAATGTCCAAAAGAAAGAAAGGAAACAGTTAATCAGAATTGCTGTGTCAATTAATTCAATGCAACCAATTCTTTTTTTTTTTTTTTTTCCTTTCCTGTTTCAATCACACACCTGAATGCCTCTCTTTTCTTCAAGACTGAAGTCCAATCTGATCCAACTTGTGCACCGGTCAGTACAAGCAATTCAAACAGCAGCCTGCATAATAAGAACAATTAGTTTCATGATTCATGAGTACCATTATATGCGAGTGAAGAGAACTTACTTATCATCATGGACAGGAACCCCCATTCTTCATCATGGTAAGCAACATAGATAGGATCTGATGAAACAAAAGTATAGACTCAACACTTTAGTTTCTCCTTCTTTTTTAGGGCACGGAAAGGTTAATTCAATCAAATGGAATGTCTGTAGTTCTTTTGATACCTGAATTAGGAGTGATAAAACTACATCTCTTTTCCTCTCGAGAGATGGTGCTTGTAGCCGGAGAATCAGCAGGAGCAACTTTCCCTTGATACTTAGCAGACTTTTTCCTTCCATAATGAGCAATTCGCATTTTTCTTTGTTCCTGCATAACAGCAACTTGTTCCCTCCTAGCAGCCGCTATGCTACCCGGAGCCTCAACTAACAAAGAGGAAGAGTGTTTCATAGCAAAAGGGTTAACAGATTGTGGAACTCCTCCAATGCTAGATTTCTTAGATTTCTTTACCAAACTAATGGTCACTTTTGTTGCGCTCCGTGGTGTCAGAACCTTTTCAGCACTAGTATTTAATCCGTCAGGATCATTTCCTCTCTTAACTGCTTGAGGTCTAGGTGATTTTAGGTTGGGAGAGATAGGAGGGGACAGCACTGAAGGCAGCTTAGTTTTAGTACCTGCAGCATTACCAGCTGGTTGCATTAATGGTACAGGTGGTACTGCAGCGGGTTCCTGAGTAGGGGACTTTGCAGGGGAGTTCTTTTTAAGTGAATTGCGTCTTTCCAAGCTAGGAACTTGATTGGACTTTGGCTGAAGGACCGGACGGCCATTAATTTTAGCAATGGTAGTGGCAATATTATTAGTACTTTGTTGCAGCCTAGATTTAGAGGAACACATTGTGATAAGGAAAGAAAAAATGGAGATGAGTGAATGATTTGGGTACTAGAAATTATTGAGTGAGATGAGAGAAAGGCAATGGAGAAGGTGAAGGAATTAAGGAGGGTTTGGGTTTATAAACTGGAAAGTGGGGACAGAGTAGAGGGAGTGGTAACATGGGTGGGTTGGGGTCTGCCATACAGCCCTCTTGTGAGGGGTACTGCTTCTGGGGCAATGTGAGCACAAGGATGACAATGACTCCAGGGTCTAGATTAGAATTATTAATATTTCTCTCGACGAAAAAGAAAGTGTGAGGGTATGGTGGTGGTGCCAATGCCAGCCTTCTCATGGACCCTCAAATTGCCAACTTTTTTTTTTTTTTTTTAAATAGTCCATGATCTCTTCCTAATCCCAAGTTGGAGTGAGGATCAAGGAGAGAATGACCAATCATTGCTGCTTCCCTCGAGCTTGCTGGAATTCTCAAGTACTTAAATAATAAAAAAGGCAGTATTTGGTTTTGGTATGATATTAGCTCAAGTTTAGTTGTTGAACTAATCAAATTAAAGTGGGTAGAATCTTTTCTGGGACATTTTTTTATGGTTATTGAAGACCTTGTTGTCAACTTTGTTTTGAGCAGCTTGTCTTAGTTTAATTGTTTTCTTTTTAGAAAGATGATGCGTATTCATATAAAATCAAATGGTGGGAGGGAAATGGACCATCTTCATTGGACTTCAAAACTTTGGATCACACACCGTTGTGTGTTTTGATTAGTAAGGGATAGAATTTGTTTTATACAAAATAGCAAGGAGTCAAACTTGCAGTCTCAAGTTGAAGCAAAAATATGTTCAACTATCTTAGGCCATGCATATCTTTGATGGCATCATCCACATTTCCGCACACATTATTGCTCAGAAAAGCATCACTTCCAAGTTAATTTTCACTTGATTTCCAATCAATGGTGTCATTGATATAGATGCAAGAAGAACGGATTAATGTGGGGGTGGAAAGTCTTCTTTCTCATCAGCTAGAGGAACATATATTATGCTCCACTGAACAAGAAATTAAATTAAGCTCACTCATTGAACAGTTTTTGTCAAAATCGGCACCAGTTAAACATGTGAGTTGAGGTTGTAGTAACAATGAAGTGAATCGAAATAATGAGCAGGATTGTGGATACACTATTTATTGGATGACATAGATTTGAATTGACTTAATAGCCAACCACAATCTAGTAAGCACCCATTTGTGTCTGATTTGCACAGACGCATTGGTTGTTACTAAATTAATTTGAACGTGAGCAAACTAAATGCACATGATTGTGCATGGAAAATCTAAACCTAAGTGAATTGGTGAAGAAAATGAAGAAGATGCTACTGATCTGGGATATATTTTAATAGTCATGAACCATCTAGTGACTGCTCATTTATGTCCAACTTAGATAGATTAAATCAAAACCTGAAGAAGTTCCTTTTTTTTTTTTTTTTCTATATATATATATATATATATATATATATATTTGCTTTGCCTGTCTTTGATAGGCAAAGAACATCATGGCTAGGATTTGGGACACTCTGACCCTAAAAGGTTCACGCGGAGGGCAGTGGATCCCAGTGATTTAGGGCTGCTTTGATAGCAATTAACCCTTCAGGACTACCATTGATGTCCAATCTACATCTTGGTGCTTTCAAGTAATTGTAAACAAAGCACATGACTTGAGCAACGGTAAGGCTAGGGTCATTAATGACAGAAATTGATGATCCTTTGATATCATCTACAGTTTCTTTTGTTGGGTTAATTACATGAAATGCCCCGAACATCTTATGTCATCTACAGTGCATCTTGTAGGTTGAACTGAAAACACAATCCTTCAAAGGGTCTCAAACAACTATATACATGTATGCATACTTTAAAACCAATACGGAAATGTCAGAACTCCCGCATGTGTTTGATTTCTGAAACAAAAACAAGGTTTGATGAATAATTAGTACATGTTAGTGCAAAATATTTATGCTACTGATTACAATAAAACTATATCCCGGATCGTATTTAATAGTTAAGTCTTTATACCAAATATGAGAAAATAATTTTATTATATACCTCTTCGTTAGGGTGACCAAAAAATAAAAAAATCAAAATAATAATAGAATGTAACATGGAATTTGATTAAGTTGGAAAAGGCATACACATATTTTTCTATAGGATTATTAGGGTTCCATCCATGTAAAAATTCCTTTTGGCCTGGTGTAACTTGAATATAAATGAAAGAAAGAAAGAAAGAAAAAAGATATTCTAGTAAAATCTCAGTCACAATAGCAATAATTCTATGGTATTGATGAATTTGGCTTTCCTGTAAATTAAATTAATTCATAGAATATGACCATATAAAAACATTATGATTTCTTTGAGGCGCAGCTCTATTAACTTGACATATATCTTGGGATGATTTGGTATATCGATTTTTAAATTCCTTGAAAGTCGTCATCTGGGTTCAAATGTGAATAGAAGAGGAACAAATCATGTGTTTCTCCAACATCCTTGCATCAATAATGTTAGACATTTTTCAGACAAATCTATGCGAAAAACATTATCGACATTTCATGCGGTAGGTTGTCTGATTTTTCTCACTGATTTGACAAAAAAAAAAAAAGAGGGTCAATTGTCAATTATGAACCCGTTCCCTTCCTTGTGGAAAAAAAAAAAAATCCGTCAAGTCGAATTCAAAGGATCTATACAGGAAATTATAAGCTTCCTTCTAAAAGAAAATTATTTGGCACCACAAATTTGGCCAAATCAAAGACAGAAAAGCAAGTTGCACTTCTTCTTGTTTTTTTTTTTGGAAGAATAACTTGCTCTACTTTTTGTCCAAATATATCTATGCAGTTCAGACACAGAATTGTACAACTCATCAGTGACACTACTGTTTGGATATATGTAAATTTCTATTGCATATTCCTTTACTGCAATGATTAATTATGTAAAGGGAAAATATTTTACAAGAGATTGCAAGTAGTTTAAACAACATTCTTGATGACAAAATCCTGACAAATTAAGGGTCAGAATACTATGAAAAGCAGGTGAAAACCTGAATGTTAGATGTCTTCATGCGTTGTATAGCATTGGCATGCAATCGATGAGAGCTTCGATTTCCAAGAATGACACAGAACACTTTCATGCAGTTTCCACTCAGTTATCTTATTAGACCTGTTCTATTTCCAAGAACATTAATCAATGCCATCGAACACTTCAATTTAGTTTCCATATATTAAGGATTACTTCTTCTGGGTACTGCTAGCTAGGCACTTTCTTGACGTTTTCTTCAGAGAGAAACCCTTACAAAATGAAAATGATTGTACTTCATAAAAACCAAATGTTGAGCTTGCCTTGCGTCCTTGAGCAATCCGCAACAATTGGGAAACAATTGGTCACGGGATCATGAAAAGTGCAGGTCAATCTTGTTGCCAAGTTACCTAATCTACGGTGGGACATCCTCGACATCGACATGCTCTCCAATAATATGTATGATGATGTCCACGACAGGAAGTTTGGGACACAACCTTACACCTTGGGTAACTAATTAGCTGGAGCCGGTTTCATCTCTATTTGTTTCTGTCTCAACATAACAGGTTCTAATTAATCCCTTGTAATATCCATGCAATTGTAGTCCATCTTTTAATTTTTCATCTACTTGTTCTTATCACTTGATTTTTTTTTCCACGCTGAAATTTTGAAGATTTTATTCATGGTTTGTTACCATTGATCAAGCATAATTTAGCTCATCTTCAGCATGCAAGCCACAGTTTAATAATTTGTAGTTCAATAATTCCTCTGAAAACTCGCATCAAATTCCAATAAAACAGTAAACCAAAAAGAAAAAAAAAGGTTGAAATGAAGATTAGTAGAGATAATCCTGTCTTATGAGTCGTAACAAGCCAATCTTGATCCCATTGAAAGGGAAGGGCTAGGTGGCTTTGTCCCATTTTTGTTTACGCACCAAGTTAGCAGGAGGGCAAAGTGCCCCAAGAGGTGGACCTTGGTGCTGGCATCTCTCAGTGTCAGCATTCTGTATGACAATTAGCAAATCATTTATAAAAGAAAATGTAGATCAATAGAATTGTTGAGGACAGAGACTTATCATATTGTATATTCAAATTATTTTATACCCAATTTAAAGGGCCCTTAGCAACTTCTGAATTCATCGGGACCTTATGTACATGAGCCCTCATTATCACAGTTTTGCTAGGTCATGGTTGTTTCTGCGACCAGAATATTTTTTGTGACCCCCAACAACCTCAAGTTATTTGAGACCTGAATTTTGTCTATTAGGAGCTCTTCCAATTTGCCTTAGAAATGCATCAATTTAGGTCAATTTTGCATTATGAATGGCGATGCAGAATGCATGGAAATTGCCAATCATATATCAGAAAATTCCCATTGTCCTTCCTCATTCTAAACCCAAAAGTCTTGTCACTTAAAGGTAGATTTTTATCACAAAAGAAGGCAAACATGCATGATTTAGTGTGGTTGTAAGATTTCTTTTAGTTTATATTCATGCATGGAAAACTAGATGGTTGTGGTCACTTATTTAGCCTTGGATTCACATTGGAAATTCCTACCTCTATCCTAATTGAAAGCGAGCCCAGTACCTTCAAATTACATTCCAAACTCGAACAATTGGTCTGTCCTGTAAGGAACAACTAACTGCCTTCGATGTCATCACAGTCTGCATTCCACACAAGTTCACATGGTTAGCATACACCAACCGCTGTCCTTGACTAAATTAGATATATTTGGATATAGTTACTGTTAAATTTGATAGAAACCACTCTGCTATGCCTTCAATCTGTTAGCACATATTAAAGAAACAAACAAACACCATCAAGTTATAATGAGGAGTTTCCTGCCATTTCAAGATTCAAACTTCCAACCACATCAAAGTGTAGAATTACACCATTATGGTTGCAAGTCAAAATTTTAAGCCCTTGGACCAAATTATTTGGAAGTATGTACCGAACATGCAAGAA